AATTACGATTTCTTATTATAATTAGTTATTATATAAATTGCAATTTCTTATTATAACAATATTATATAACATATATATATATAATATATAACAATATTATGTAACATATATATAATATATAACAATATTATATAACATATATATAATATATAACAGTATTATATAACATATATATAATGTATAACAATATTATATAACATATATATATATAAAAATATCATATATATTATAACAACTTATAAACATAATTCATAATTCCTTATTACAATTAGTTATTATGAATTATAATTCCTTATCGTAATTCGTCATTATAATTTACATCTTATTAAAACTTGTCGATAAAATATTCAAACGTGTCACTGTTTAAACAATTTCAGCGCAGAATCAAGTGCAGATGGAAGCTGGAGTGTCATTTTAATTGAATCCGCGTGTCAAAGCGGCGGGTACCATGAAAATTTCACGATATCTTAACGAAGTTTCGTTTCGGTCGCGTTTCGAAACGCGTAGGACGGCGCGACGAGACCTATTTCATCGAGCAATTTAACCGGTGATGAATGTCGTTTGAACATCTCCTGCGAGGCCGCGCGATTGAATTAGGTGGGCCGTGCACAGTATCAATGCCTAACGGTGCGTTTACGTGATAAATGATAACGTTCTTTAGATGGCCGCCGCGTCGCGTCTCCTCCGGCCCCCGCGGCACGCCGCGGCCCCCGGCCTCCTCCAGAAACACGGTTTGCCTCCGTGATTTTACGAGGATCTCCAATATCGTGCCACCCTCCCCTCCGGTGTAATATCGTTCCTTATGAGCCGTATTTTATCGGGAAATAATGGAAAGTACGCAGGTAAGTCCGTGTACTTAATGTCGATATTTGAACGACTCGACTCCTCGATTGCCGGCGAGATTTAAGGGCCCACGGATCGCCGCCGTTGCCGCCGTGAAAAATGCCATTCTGTCACGTCGATGCAGCTGCTCGGGGTGCAGGAGACACAGACAAAATTCGATAGAAATTTTTGCAGACAATTTTCTTTCGAATAATTACTTCCGAAGAAGAACTCTCGTTGCGTTATATTAATCGAAATAATTCTATTGATTTTTATGGACGAGATTGTAGCAATTATTGAACAATTTTTGTTGTGGAAGCATCGATCGAATACGCACTGGTGGAACAGTCAATGTTAGTCAGGGTGCACGAGACACAGACAAAATTCGATAGAAATTTTTGGAGACAATTTTCTTTCGAATAAGTACTTCGAAGAAGAACTCCCGTTGCGTTATATTAATCGAAATAATTCTATTGATTTTTATGGACGAGATTGTTGCAATTATTGAACAATTTTTGTTGAGGAAGCATCGATCTAATATACACTGGTGGAACAGTCAATGTTAGTCAGGGTGCACGAGATACACAAAAAATTCGATAGAAATTTTTGGAGACAATTTTCTTTCGAATAATTACTTCCGAAGAAGAACTCTCGTTGCGTTATATTAATCGAAATAATTCTATTGATTTTTATGGACGAGATTGTTGCAATTATTGAACAATTTTTGTTGAGGAAGCATCGATCCAATATACACTGGTGGAACGGTCAATGTTAGTTTAATAATATTGTTAGCAACAGTTTCGTAGTTTCGTTTGTTTTTAATCAACGAAATGGCAAGAGTAAAGAATGAACATCGAATAGATCGCGATCATTGTGTGTGAAATATTTGATGAGGCACCGTACGCGATTCTACGTGAAACGATGCGTCGAAAATGTAGAATAAACGTTTTCCATAAAGCCCTTCGTTTTCGAGATAATTAACTCCGAAGTTTCCTCTGCAGTGCTCCAAGTAGAAATGGACAGCCACGGTCAGAGACAGACAAAGGTCGCAACTCGATTATTTCAGAAACGAAGCACTCTAGGATTATGTTTATTTCACATTTCTGTCTCAGTTTTCTACGTAGATTCCACGCATTTCAAAAGGTCTACAATGTTCTTGCTAAATACCCTTGCAATAGCACTCTTGGCTTAAGTTTAATTCTATAGAAAGCGTGTAAAACAATTTTCACTGATTGAAATGACTCGAAAGTCGACTGGAAAAGTAGGAGATTATGCGAGGATCGGCATTCTCATTGTAACTGTACAGTAGAACCTCGATTATTATTTTTACTATGTTGTATAACTAATTTCTATTATGTTCTACAATTAATTTAATTAATATTTACTTTATTGCACAATTAATTTGTGCTATCTCGCGCAGTCAATTTTTACTACTGTGTTGTACAACTTAAATTTTACTTTGTTGCACAATTAATTTCTACTGTGCTATCGATTATTATTTTTACTATGTTGTATAACTAATTTCTATTATGTTCTACAATTAATTTAATTAATATTTACTTTACTGCACAATTAATTTGTGCTATCTTGCGCAGTCAATTTTTACTACTGTGTTGCACAATTAATGTTTACTTTGTTCCACAATTAATTTCTACTATGCTGCACTATTAATTTCTGCTATGCCGGACAATTAATTTTGTCCATGTTGAACAATTAATTTCTACCATGTTGCACAATTAATTTCTACCACGCTGTCCAATGAATATCAGCGTTTCCTCGCATCGTTTTAAATCGAATCGTCGAACGTGGAACGCTTTGGAATAATTAATAAAGATTGGACATTGGTAATTCGGATAATCGAGGTTATATTAATTAGAAATTCCGGAATATTTCCTCGGACGATGAACGCGACTGAAATTGTCGAATAGTCAGTTCGGACAAACGGCGAGGGTCGTACGTTTCAGGAGCCTCCACGGCACTGTGGACTATTGTCACACAATTCAGGATACTCTGAGGATGCTAAGCCTGATTTGCGTTCGAATGTTCGAAAGTCCCTCTGAAATGCAAATTTCGGGGATCGTAACTAATGCCGGGTCCAAGACGGTTGGTTCTGGTCAACTTGGCCATTGTTAGCCGCGCGTTTGGCTTCTTGCGGTATATGGGTTACGTCACGAACTTGCTTTGTGCTACGAATCATCGATATGGAATATTCGAATGGAATATGAGAGTCGTTTATTTTGAAAGTGGCATAAGTCACTTTACAGTAATGAAAAGTGGTGATTTTTTAATGTTTATACGATATTATTTATACTGAGAAAAATATCAGTATTCTGAGATAACAAATACAAGTAAATCTTCTCGAAACGTATTATATTTATGAACGTATATTTTGAACGAATATTTTTATAATTTATTATATATTTATTATATATTATAATATATATTATATAATATATAAAATTATAAAATAAATTATTAAATATATAAAATATATTATTTATATCCACGCTAATTAGAAGCAGCTTTTTGAAAATTTGTCGCAACGATTCGAAGTCCACGTTCACGGCGATATAATAATACATATATATCGCAGAAAGCACTTCGTTCCGGATCGTTTTAACGAATTAACGTTTCATCAAAGACGCGAGTGTGGAATAAGTGTCTCGTTAAATTTAGAAGAGCTTTTTAACGATTGAGGTTTCATTAGAGACAAAACAATCTACCGAGCCATTCATCCCTTCTCGAATACCTCTTTAACGATTGCAGGGTTTCGTTAAATGGTGAGACCGTCTAATAAGTACTTCATGCTCGTGCTCGAATGTCTGTTCAACCATTTGTGGTTTTGTCGCACGTGGAACGGTCCAATGTAAGTATTTCATCGATAATTCTAGGAGATTAAACAGTTTATAATTTCGTTAAAGGTGAAACAGGCCAGGAAATAGTTTATTAATCGTTCCGAAAGATCTCCTTAATCATTTATAATTTTGTTCAACACGAAAAAAGTCTAACAAGTACTTTATTAATTCTACAGAATCTTCGTGATAATTTATAACTTTTTCAAGCGTAAAGCGATCTAATAAATACTTCGTTAATTCTAGAGGATTATCCAGGCTTCAAAATCAAAGTGTAAGATCGATTTTCGAAATATATTTTTGCAAGAAGACAATTCTATAAGATTATTCTTGAAGACACTGCTCGAATAATATATCGAATGAATTCTTCGAGTGATATTTTATTCGAATAATATATCGAATGAATTCTTCGAGTGATATTTTATTCGAATAATATATCCAATAAATTCTTTGAGTAATATTCGATTCGAATAATATATCGAATAAATTCTACGAGTAATATTCGATTCGAATAATATATCGAATAAATTCTTCGAGTAATATTCGATTCGAATAATATATCGACTAAATTCTTCGAGTAATATTCGATTCGAATAAATTCTTCGAGTAATATTCGATTCGAATAATATATCCAATAAATTCTTCGAGTAATATCCGATTCGAATAATATCCGATTCGACTAATATATCGAATAAATTCTTCGAGTAAAATTGTATTCGACTAATATATCGAATGAATTCTTCGAATAACATTCTATTCGACTAATATGTCGAATGAATTCTTCGAATAACATTGTATTCAATTGAATGAATTCTTCGAATAAAATTCTACTCGACCAAATTCAACGAATAAAATGGTCTTCTTTATTCTGCTAAATTCCGTTCAACATGCCAACCAGTAAAAAATAATGAAAAGACCATGAGAATATACGCGAGGTATAAAAATGTTCCGGTATGATTTCCGACGGAGGAAACTCGAGTTTCGACAGCCCGGCGAAAAGTGTCTAATTCCGCATAAAGAGCCGGGTTCCATAAACATCCCAAGAGGACCATACCGGTGCACCATTCGGTGTACCTAATTTATCAAAACGGCCAAGAGCGAAAGGAGCCGGGAGAGTCGCGGCGCGGTACGGGGAAGAGTTCGGCGGTGTTCGTTCGTCAGGGAGCATGTTAACAACTCCCAGACGCTTTGGCCGAATGGCTCGCCATTCGGTAGCTCCTCCCTTCTTATCGCAGCGTTAGCTGGAAGCGTCCCCGCCGAGCTTAGGCGAACTTACACGGGATAATAGCCGGCCGCAGACGGCACGGGACTTTCAAATATACTTACAGGTAGGAGTTCGCTTGGTCCCAGCCAACTATTTCCGTTACGACGAAGAGGCCGGAAGTGAGCGGCCGCGGGGACGACCGGCCCGAGGTCACATCGGTAATCGCGGCGACATGCCTCCAATAGCTGCTGGTGTTGGCCTGCTTGTGCGGCAGAATCGTCAGGAACGAGTTCCCGTCCTCGCTGAACACCGGCGCCTCGAACTGCTCGACCCATCCGTGCTTCTCGAAGTACTCCAGCCTCTGCGACCATGAATATTTCATTCGGCATAACGCCGCCGACCGAATCCACCCGCCCCCGAAAAATTCCGCCCTCGAATTCCCTTTCTGCGGCTTCAATTTTAACGGTGTTTCAAGGCTCAAGGTTATAGCGGGGTCGCGGGTCATTGAATTCGCCTCGACGACGCCGCACGGTTGGGTCACCGAACGCGGTAATATAAATCGTTCGAAGTAGAATATTTATTCGAATGAAAAGTTCATTCGTCTGTGGTTCGTTTCGTTGGAAATAGGGGCTATGATTTGGCTGAACACTTAATTCAATTTGGTGATTAGTAATGAATTGCTTATTTTAGGCGATATTTAATGGACTCGCACTTCCAGTTTCATTTTTTTTGGAAATGAATTCTACTAACCACAGTAACTGGTGCAGATTTTTTCAATACTATGACTATGGACCAGTTACTCAGACTAGTGGAATTCATTTTCGGGACAGATCACAAAAATCCGGAAAATCCATTCCACTAGTCTCAGTAAATGGTCCACCTAGGCCGGTAGCAAAATTTGGGACCAGTTACTGAGACTAGTGGGATTGATTTCTCAACAGATCGCAAAAGTCCGGGAAATGAATTCTACTAGTCTCAGTAACTGGTCCCTTTAGGCCAACAGCAAAATTTTGGACCAGTTACCGAGACTAGTAGAATTCGTTTTCCGGATTTTTGGGAATCGGAAGACATAGAAATGAGAGATGCCAAAAATCCCGAAAATGAATTCTACTAGTCTCAGTAACTGGTCCACACACTTGGGTCGATAGCAAAATTTAGGGGACCAGTTACTGAGACTAGTGGAATTCATTTTCCGGATTTTTGGGATCTCTTCAGAAATCAATCCCACTAGCCTCAGTAACTGGTCCACCTAGGTCTACAGCAAAATTTGGGACCAGTTACTGAGACTAGTGGCAAAAGTCCGGGAAATGAATTCTACTAGTCTCAGTAACTGGTCCCTTTAGGCCAACAGCAAAATTTTGGACCAGTTACCGAGACTAGTAGAATTCGTTTTCCGGATTTTTGGGAATCGGAAGACATAGAAATGAGAGATGCCAAAAATCCCGAAAATGAATTCTACTAGTCTCAGTAACTGGTCCACACACTTGGGTCGATAGCAAAATTTAGGGGACCAGTTACTGAGACTAGTGGAATTCATTTTCCGGATTTTTGGGATCTCTTCAGAAATCAATCCCACTAGCCTCAGTAACTGGTCCACCTAGGTCTACAGCAAAATTTGGGACCAGTTACTGAGACTAGTGGAATTCATTTTCCGGATTTTTGGGATCTCTTCAGAAATCGATCTCACTAGTCTCCGTAATTGGTCCATCTAGGTCTACAGCAAAATTTTGGAACAGTTACTGAGACTCGTAGGATTCATTTTCGGAAAAGATGAGAATGCAATGAATGATGCGACTAGGGAGAGGACATGTCGCTTAAGTATGATTACAATAAAATATTTGACGGACAGGAATTAGATAAAAATTGTGAAATTGTGTTGCTTCGTGCAGTAATGTCAACACGTCGGAAGTAAACGTCCGAATTTTTAGGGAATTGCAATCAGAGAAATGCAGATTTACTCGACAAATATCAAACACCATGAAACTCGGTTGTTTAAAATTGGATGAATTGTAAGCCACGACGAGACATTGCTTAATTAAAACGTACGTAACGCGTTGCAACAAGCTAATTGCGCACAGTCTTTTGTCCGCATGAATATAATTCGAACACTTGCGCACATTATTTGAATACGTTCGCGCGTGCATTGTTCGTTCGATGGTACAGGAAACACGTCGAATCGAATTTTAATTATGCAAAACGAACACGCCAGAAACAGTTCGGAAAAATTCAGTATTCAGCTTCACTTTATTAATCATTTTTAACAACGGTTTCGTTAGGCGGTTTCCGCTTCTCCTTTCGAAACCTCAAAAATGTATTATCGCTAAAACGATCTTACAACAATTTAAAAACGGTTCGTGTCAATCCAGAAGAAGAAGAAAAAAAGAAGAATTTCCAATACCGCGGATCTCACGAAACACCGAATAATCGATAAAGTAATTAAAAATTTCATTTTCCACTAGAGAGAAATATCCTAATTAAACCGCGGCGGCGCTGTTAAATATCGAAAATCAAATCTCCGAAATTCAAGTGTCGCAAAATGAAAATATTCGATATTAAAATATCGAAAACGAAACTATCGGAAAACCGAGAAAATAATTTCGAATAAAATTTTCTTCGGATAGAGAATGCGCTAATTAAACGTGCCCCGGTCCCTCGAGCCCCGAAAAATACGATCATCGATCTCCCTTCTCACATTATCTCGAGCTGTAATTAAATTAACAATGTCTGCGATCGGGTCAGCAGGGACCCGGCCTTCGCGCGGCGCGGACCACAGTATTTCCAGCCGCGAGCCGAGCTCGACGACAATAATAAAACTGCGCCGATCATCGTTTCTTTTTTAAAACGACCCCGAGGGATGGGTTCCCGTGGCAAAAAAAAGCGCGGGAACATTCTGCGGAAGAGGAGCCGCAGAGTTATCGGCGGCCATCTTGTCGAAGCTGGAAATTAGCTGCGGAAGGATCGGAGGAAAAGAGAGCCGGGGACGGCCAGGAGAGAAGGAAAGAGAGGCGGCTCGTCTCTCGGCCCCATCGTCGACGTATACGTACCACGGTGCAATTCGGTACAAGACCGTCGACGTAACAGAAATGGAAGTACGCCTTGTTCTGCACTCGGTTCATCCAGGTCGCGTACACGAGATTGTCCGTGGGAAAAGCGACGGCAGATAAAATCCGTTCCTGGGAGTTTAACTCGGCCGGATGTTCGATTTCAGTTAAGCTCACGTTACCGCGGACCACATTCTCCAAGTCGACGTAGAACAGCTTCACCGTAGGATTCGCAGTGCCACTCTGCAACAGAAATCGGGCGATCGCTGCAATATACGTTCCAATATTGCGCGAGAATCGCGGACGTCACTCGACCACCGTAATTCCTGTCGGCGATACGACGCACGGGAACCGGTCCAATGAAATTTTAATCGTGCCAGATGGACCTCGAAAACGGCCCTCGAAAACGCTCGATTTTATTTCGATCATTTCTTCGACAGCAATAACGGTAATAGACCGTAATCTTTATGCCGGAAATATTTTATAAGGAACGGCGCACGCCTATGGAATTTATTGCTATTTAGAAGGAACGTCCGTCGTCGGTCCTACAAGACCGATCCACGCTGCGAGACCGAATAAATCGTTTTCTAGGGAACTGAAATTTTTCGAATAATTTTCACGCGATTCTGCGCGGAACGGTGCGTCGAAAATGTGGAATAAAGTTTTTTCATATTGGCCTCCGTGTTCGAGATAATTAACGCCGAAAGTTCGCGTGTACACGCGGCAAGTGGAAACGGTCAGCCATGCGTCAGCCGTGCGCTAACGCGAACGAAGGTAGTCAATCTTTAATCCGCGTTATCTCGAATATGAAACATTGTAAGAAAAATATGTAGTCCACATTTTCTACGCGGTCTTGCATGCAGATTCGCCCGGTTTTGAAAAATGAATACTACATCCACTGGAAAGCCATAAATTCTACCGTGAATCGCACTGTGCAACACACCGGGAAGAAACATCGTAGCATTTTTGTGACAGATGCGAAATTACGTGCGCGAAATTTTAAAGATAAATACCGAAATTGGCGAGAAGTACTGCACTGTTCGTTCGTATGAATTAACAGTGTTAGAAATAAACAGTGTTACGAATAAATATTGTTAATTCACTGGCTAGTTTCTGACATTTAATATTAGATTTGCGGAGCACAAAGAACAGCTGTTTTATATTAGTTTACAAAAGTAACAGTGAGACATTTATTCTGATTTTTAACAGGTGTTACTGTAACATTTGCCGTAAGTAACATATAAATTGGACAAATAACTCATTAATGTATCTTTACGATATGAATAATCGTAAATTAAAAATCGTAAATCTAGTAAATCTAGTAAAATCTAGTGAAAATAATCTCGCGTTTTATTGAAGCTCTATTCACCCGTTAATCGAATTTTTAATTATTACGCTGAACCAATGGAGAATCTGAACAATCTCTTTTTCATGTGATTATTGGCACATGATTGCCATAACTAGCGTCACTGAACAACTCGCCGAGACCCTTTCAATTATGAATCGCAGCCCCTCGAAGACCATAAAATCCTCGCCGACGTAAAATACGTTAAAATCGATAGAAAAATCGCGGTAAAAAAAAATACGTCGAGAGAAAGATCAACGAATAACAATCATAAACGATGTACTCGACACGGCGGTGGTCCGCAGTTCGATATAAAAGCCGTCGACTCGTTCGCCGAGCGAAAGCGAACAAATAAACAAAATTCTAAACACGAGCCGCGCGCCAAAAACTGATGAACTATTTATCGGCGGAACAGGGTCGCGAGCGAGGAGCGAGCGGGGGCTCTTTTAAAATTCGCCCCGAGCCGCCGGATTTAAATAATCCCGGTTTATATTATACATTTAGCGGGAGGCCGCGCTCAATGCTTAATCGAATAATATCGTTGCCGTTGGGGCGAGATCTGTGCGCGCGTCTCATTGTATCACGGACGAATTGAAAATTACGAATAATGGGCCCGCCGGAGCATCGGGGCTGGCCCGCACAAAAGATAAACATGCCCCGGCGGAATATTAAGCGAGCCTCGTCGCTCGTTGATTATTTAACACGAAAAGAACGTCCTTTGAATTTTTGCCCCGGCGAGAGATCTTATAATAACACGAACAGATTTTTCCATCCGTGCATCGTCCGTCCGATTGTTGCACAGCCCGCCGCTGTGCAAATAAACCGAATATAATTGGCCTCGGTCGCCTCGTTCGAATTCAGCCGGTTTCGAAATGTTCGAGGAGAGAATTCGTTTCGGGAACCGCGCGATCGCGGCCGCGGAAACGTAAACTTATAAACCGTGATTACGTTATCGCGAAACAAAAAGGAGCCTCGCCGTCGCGTCGCAGCGATATTAAAAGAAAGATGAACATAAATTCCGCGCGCGCTGTTCTTTTTCCCCGTGCAGAGCGCGCGCGCGCGCGCGCACACGCGACGGACGAGAATTTAATCAGAACGTCGTATCAGAATTTAATTACTCGGTCGGTAATTAGTTCCGGTCCCGGCCCGGAAATCCATCCGCGATCCCGTTTTACAACGGAGAGGAGGGATCCTTCTGGCTGTCGTCCGTCCACCGCGATTTTTCTCCGCGATAATTCCCCGCGATCGAACGAAGATATTGTTCCGAGCAGACCGCGACTTGTTAACGCGGCGGGGCCGAGATCTTGAACGTTCGCAGTCGGTTTCGAGCTGTTCAAATATTTTCAGGTGTACTCGATACGAGATCGCGTTTTCTTCGCTTTCTTTGGAACCGCGGAAGATGATATCATTTTTTGCGAGCGATTAAAGAAATGTAATAAGAAATTGAAATAGTGAGAAGTATAAGAAGAAATTGAACTGGTAAGAAATATAATAAGAAATTGAAATAATAAGAAATGTAGTAAGAAATTGAACTAGTAAGGAATTGAAGTAATAAGAAATTGAAATAATAAGAAATTGAACTAGTAAGAAATTGAAATAATAAGAAATTGAACTAGTAAGAAATTGAAATAATAAGAAATTGAACTAGTAAGAAATTGAAATAATAAGAAATTGAACTAGTAAGGAATTGAAATAATAAGAAATTGAACTAGTAAGAAATTGAAATAATAAGAAATTGAACTAGTAAGAAATTGAAATAATAAGAAATTGAACTAGTAAGGAATTGAAATAATAAGAAATTGAACGAGTAAGGAATTGAAATAATAAGAAATTGAACGAGTAAGAAATTGAAATAGTAAGAAATTGAACGTGTAAGGAATTGAAATAATAAGAAATTGAACGAGTAAGAAATTGAAATAGTAAGAAATTGAACGTGTAAGGAATTGAAATAATAAGAAATTGAACGAGTAAGAAATTGAAATAGTAAGAAATTGAACGTGTAAGGAATTGAAATAATAAGAAATTGAACGAGTAAGAAATTGAAATAATAAGAAATATAGCAAGAAATATAATAGGAAATTAAAATAATTTAATAATTATTTCCATTATTTCCATCGTCCCCTTCAATACAATGTTTAAAAAAAATGCCCTCATATTCCTCAACAACCAATTACAATTTCGATGCCACAACGAACGAAATGTGCATTAATTTGCAATTCCGATGAAAGAACAATAGCCATTCGTTTCATTGTTAACACAAACAGATCGCTGGCATCGTTATTTAATTAATTAACGAGGAGCATATTTTTCGCTAGCAAAGCAAACAGGAAGAAATTTATATTTCAAAGTAAATGTCAAGATTTTATTTCGGAGCACGCTCACGGACGGCTGTATTAATTAAAAGAACCGTGAAACGAAAGATTCGAGCGGTCTCTGGAAATTAATAAAGTTCACGTAGAGACCGACACGAACTTCTCCGGTTCTTTCTGTTCGAGGAACGAGAGGATCCGAGCGTCCCGATTTGTTCGAAAGTTCGCGGGCTCGTAGAACAGATCTAAAACGGGGAGAAGAGCATCTCTGACAACTTTGACTCCTGTTATTTTTCTGTTCCGCGGCTATGAAAACACCGGTTTAAAAATTCGAGAAACTTCGCTCGGATCGCGGATAATAATAAGCGATTAACGAATGAAATTTCAGCCGACGTTATCGAATTAAAATTTGTGTAGATAACCTCGATAACAATTCGTATGAACAAGATTTTACTCGAATAAAAAGTTATTCGTTCAAAGAAGAATTTATTCGGAATTAATTCGTAAGAATAATCGAGTTGAATGAAAATGATAGAATACAGTGCTTTTCCATACTTTATTCAGTAATTTCTTCTGCGTTAATTTTCACAATTAACTGTGCTTTTTCAACTGTGTTACATTGGAGAATGTTTTTTTTTACTTTTGAGTAGATTGTTCAACAATTATTGGCATTGTTATTCGAATAATTTTGTAATCTGTAGGCGGACGATTTAAAAATATATAATATGTTATATTATATATCAATTTATATTTTTATATTCATATATTTATTATATATTAGTTAATATATTAATTGATACTATATATTTATATTCGAATAAAACGTTCGACTGAAAAGCATTCGTTCGAATATAGAAACTCAGTCGAATATAGAAACTCATTCGAATATAGAAATTCATTCGCTATAGAACAACCGTAAAACAATAACTTCTTTTACGAACGTTTCGTGACTCGCCGCACATATCCCGCGTAAAATTCTCTAAAACAGTTCCGTGGTTTCTTTCGCTCGAATCACACAAGTTTCGAACGATTGCGCCGCCATAGTTTTACGGCGCGTAAAAATTATTGAATTTTCATCGCGATGTCTATTCTATATACTTTCGGTAACTCGGAAAATATGCGGCGAATAGAGGGGGGCGAGCCGGTCAAACCCGATCGGGCTCTCCGATAGACTGTTCACAAACTCACTACAAAATTTTTATGCCGCTAATCCAATAAGCTTTATTCGCAAACATATCGCTGAAAACTTGCCCGGAAACGATATCATTTTATACGAGTTTTGCTTATATATTCGATGCTATTTCTATTCGTTTATACTTATTTCTATTCG